ATGTGTATGAAACTTACAAGAACCTTTCAATGTCCCAGGGATTGTAAATGGCTTAACGCATGTGAATATACAGGCTTACTTCTTATGATAAACAGCGAAGGGACGGTCACAGAGCTTCATCATTTTTTCAGGGAGGAATATTCTCCTTCGAGTTTCAGACATCACTCTTCGATGTAGTTGTAAATAAACAAGACTCTAATGGTGACAAATTCTCTATTTAATTTGATTTTTTGTTTGACATGCTACCTTACACCAGAGACATAAAACTTGTGTCTCTGCTTACACCAATCAAATGACAAATGGAACCCGTGTATCGAGGAAATTCGAGATTGACAATCTCCAAAGCGATATCAGTTTAAGAAAAAAAAATCTCTTGAATTAAAAATTCACCAAAAATGAATTTAACAAAAACACAAAAAGAGTGATTACCTAAAATTGCCAGTAAATTAGTTTCTTTTCTTCACTCTCGTACACTCCGGAAGTTCAAGAGAAATTATAATACCAAAATGGGTTCCGATCGCCGCGTTTGTTTCGTTCCCGTTTCTTTTCGTACTAAGACGATATTCGCACCAGTAATATTTTACTCCCAATATTGAATATGATTGAATAGATGGCATAATATGAACAAAAGGCCCTGGGGCCACATCGCTCACCTGAGCACTATGGCTAGGAAAATGTAGTTCAGTCTTGAAAAGTGGTTCGGGGGGGGGGGGGTGATTTGAACTAACTTGAATCTATACTTCATTGGGATGTTTTTGAATTAATATGACAAATAATAGCTTTGCTGTTCTTGAGGAGAAAATTTTTATTGATATATCCTTTTATTTACATTTGCAAATATTTTTCTTAGATGAACCTATAGAAGAGAAAATATGTTCAATTCTGTATGAACTTATTAGGGGGTCAGAGGTCATGGCGTGACCGAATCACACAGCGAGACGATATCTTGTCTACATATTTCTGTCACAGTGACACTGGTTTCGGAACTTCTGAACCGTCAAAGCGATGAAAAAGATAAAATTATTGAAGCATATATTTTTTTTTCGTTCAACAAATGATCGTTAGATCTTTCTTCGGTGTGAAGAATGTTTCTAATTAGCCTAAAATCAGGCTTACCTTTTTAACCCGAAATTCCTTTGAAGGTATGTAAACTGAAGACGATAGCACCGCTTTTGACTTTATATATAAAGAACTCGTACAATAATAGTAAGATAATTCCCAGTAGCGATCATTGTTTTTTCATTATGAACAGATATTTCCTGAACTGGACTGCTAAACATCAATGTAAGTATTCAAATGTTGGAGCGAGGCGAACTCTCAAGACCAAACAACTTCTAGGTCATTGCGCGTCACAACATAGCAATACGGCGGGCCGTTCGTGTAATAAATGCAGTTCTATTCAGAATATTCGTCTCAAATGTAAATAAAAGTAATAAACAACAATGTTAAAAAGTTCACTGGGAAATGAACTTGGTTGGTACGTGATCAAATCTTCTGAGAAGCCCTTCGGGCTTCACAGGATTTGATCACGTGACCAACCAAGTTCATTTCCCAGAGAACTTTTTAACATTGTTGTTTATTTCTTAAGTATTCCTTTGTATAACTATGATCCCCTCTTATGCCCCTCTATTCTCCGGGGAGGGGGGGGATGATTTGAACAAATATGAATCTATTTTACCTGAGGATGCTCATGGCTTTGCTGTTCTTGAGAAGAAGATTTTTTTAAAGGTTTTTCCTACTTATTCCTATTTAAAACTTTGATCGCCCATAAATGTGGCCCCACCCAACCCATGGGGGTCATGATTTGAAGAAACTTGAATCTACACTACCTGAGGATGCTTCCATATAAATATGAACAATCATGGCTTTGCTGTCTTGAGAAGAATTTTTTAAATTTTTTTCCCTATATATTCCTTTGTAAAACTTTCATCACCCATTATGGCCCCGCCCTACCCCTGGGGGTCTTGATTTGAACAAAATTGAATCTACACTACCTGAGGATGCTTCCATATAAATAAATATGAACAATCATGGCATTGCTGTTCTTGAGAAGAATTTTTTTTGAAAAAAAATTTCCTATGTATTCCTATGTAAGACTTTGATCACCCATTGTGGTCATATCCTACCCTTGGGGTCATGATTTGAAGAAACTTAAATCTACCCTACCTGAAGATGTTTCCGTATAAATATGAACAATCATGGACTGTTAAAAGATTTTTAAAGATTTTTCTTATGTATTCGTATGTAAAAATTTGATTCCCCATTGTGGCGTCACCCTACCCCTGGGGGGTCATGATTTGAACGAACTTGAATCTACACTACCTGAGGATGCTTCCATATAAATATGAACAATCATGGCTTTGCTGTTCTTGAGAAGAAGTTTTTTAAAAATGTTTCCAATGTATTCCTATGTAAGACTTTGATCGCCCATTGTGGCCCCACCCTACCCCTGGGGCTCATGATTTGAAGAAACTTTAATCTACACTACCCGAGGATGCTTCTATATAAATATGAACAATCATAGCTTTGCTGTTCTTGAGAAAAAGATTTTTTGAAAATGATTCCTACGTATTTCTATGTAAGACTGTGATCGCCCATTGTGGCCCCATCCTACCCCTTGGGGTCATAATTTGAAGAAACTTGAATCTACACTACATGAGAATGCTTCCATATAAATATGAACAATCATACATTGCTGTTCTTGAGAAAAAGATTTTTTAAAAATGTTTTTTACGTATTTCTGTGTAAGACTGTGATCGCCCATTGTGGCCCCATCCTACCCCTAGGGGTCTTGATTTGAACAAACTTGAATCTACACTATCTGAGGATGCTTCCATATAAATATACAAATCTGTGAACAGGGCAAAACACGGACCCCAGGAAATTCTAGGAGGATTAAGCATCCCCTGTCGACCGATCACACCTGCCGTGATCCTAATGTATTGATCAGGTATACGGAGTGATCAGGAGTAAAAAAAAAATTATAAAACAGTAAAACATCCACATATAAAACAGATGTGGGTGTTCACTGGGATATATCGAGTCGACATATGAATGAAACTAGCTATTTTTAATTGATAATACGTCGTCAATATGTTTTACTGACTATAGACGATAAAGGCCCACTAACGGCTAAACTGTATGGCAAACGAGATGACTTCAGCTTTTCCATCGTCAACTTTCCTTATTTATGTAGTAGTATTCCACTATCATCTGCATATGGTGTTTATGTCTTTTAACTTATTCGACACTCAAGAACATCCTCCGAATACGACCAATTTTTAATCCGAGGCAGACTACTGACAGATAAGTTGAAGTTACAGGGATTTCAACAACCTCGTTTAAAGTCAGCATTTCTTAAATTCTACGGTCACCATGATGTTCTTGTTAGCAAGTACAATCTATCATTGGGTAGTATTTGGACTGCCATATTTCATATCAATTGTTATTAGGCCTTTGTTTTTATACTATTTTTGACTCCGGATAACTCCGTATACCTGATCAATACATTACAATCACGGCAGGTGTGATCGGTCGACAGGGGATGCTTAATCCTCCTAGAATTTCCTGGGGTCCGTGTGTTATGCCGTGTTCACATATTTGTATATTGTTTGTAGTTTTTTTTTGTTTTTGTTTTTTTGTTTTTTTTTTTTTTTTTTTTTTTTAGATCGAGCACTGTTCGTTATCTTCACCAATTCCATTACTCACAAAGAAAATGTAGGTCAGATCCAGAATCTAAGCAAGTCATAGCTTTAGTCCCTACATGAATCATCCATATTAGTTTGGTCCAGGTAGGGCTTATAGGTACTTGGGAATGGAACTAATCTAAAAATTTTAACATAGTCACTCATCTGGAAAATGTTGGTCGGATCCTTCACTCATCTGGAAAATGTTGGTCAGATCCAGCATCCACAACAAGTCTGGTAGTGTGCATCCCTAGAGCATCACCCTTGCAATTCAAGTTTGATCCATGTGGGTTTTTTATTTACTTGGGAATGAAAACTGCTGCAAATATATTAAACTGCTCCAAGAAACCATACCTTCTCCAAAAACATTAAGACGTCATTCTTATGGAAAATACTGGCTGAAAATGCAGCATCTAAAATCTCACTGGTGAAATAAAACGCACTAGATGCATCATCAATGCAACGAGAATCAATAAAGTTATAGAAACACGTAGAAGGAAAACTGCTCCAAAAACTTTACCCTGGGGCACCGACTCTGACGGTATTAGTTGAAGTGCTCTTAAAAGTACCAAGATTTGAAAAAGATCTAAACACTGTCAGACAAAATGTAAAATCATTAACATATACATTATATTACCGAGTGAAATTGCAAGCTATTTGTTAAAATGCTCTCCAATTTTCACGTATTTCATCAATCCGATATATCGAAACCAGGCCGATTTTCCATGGCCACTAAAATTAAACGAACAACAAAAAGGCCCACCTTTCCCTGTCACCCCTGAATATACTTCAATATCTTCAATAATTTATACTATATAACTTGCGGTGGCTTTTTTGTCCTCGTGTATGTTAAAAAATCATGCTTATTGTTGTATTTATGTCCCCCCCCCCCCCCCGTGGGACCATTATTGGCAAAGAAAAAAAACCTTACTCACTCAGTCACGTACTATTGATATTAGAAGAAACAAATGCTTTATTAAGAAATTGGATTTAGATTTTATCATATCTCATAAGTAAATTCACAACATCACATATTTAAATTTATACATAACAGTAGAACAAGAAACATAATACAATGTATAAGTAGGGGTAATCATGATGTTGATTAGACAATGATTTTTTCTTAATTTTTTTTGTGAGAAATGTATATTTTTCTAACATTACATAATTCCTTTGTAATTGGGCTGGATCATAATTGAATCAGTTTATAAACACTTAGTAGTACTTTTATTAGAAGTCAACCATTCAAAATTAGCTTCCATTTTTAGCTGAAAAAACGTTAATATAAAAGCATGTTTTGAAAGGTCGGATTTTAGAGTATAAAACTAAATATACAACATTAAAAGGCAGATTCAATTAAACTTAAAGTCATTGTACGTCCAAACAGGAAAATTTCACTCATAACAATTCAGTTTTTTAGGTGAGGTGAAACAAATTTATATCTTTAAGATATTTAGGAATTCAGGCTGAAGCCTACTGTAGCTCGGACAGCGTTCTTTAAAATCTCATCCACAGGACTCGCATGCATGTAAAAATGATAAACCGGAGTAGGGTTGATAGATTTAATTAGTAGATGAGGCGAAATGATCGGGTACTTTAAAGTTTTCAGTCAGTCTTAACATGATTTCACAGTACTCCGCCAATACATTAGTTTCGTTTTGAGTGGTAACAATGTTTCCTGTCATTTTTTGACGGGATAAAAAATAATCCGGAATGTGTCCCCAGAGTTTTGCAAGATGTAGTAGTTTTTTGTAAATTCTTCTGGTCCACTTTAAAACCTCACATAGGTTGCTCTCCCTTGGTTCAAGTTTGTTTGCATCCATTACCAGCTTATTCCACGACTCTGGCTTCAGATCAGCTTCACAGAGATTTGTCCTTTGCCTGAAATCATCCAAGACATGAAGTAAAGCTGTTTTGATTTTATAACTAGTTAAATAGTGATGGACATTGGTCACAAATAATGGACCATCTGATGTTTGTAAAAGTTGGTCACAGATCCCGTCTTCGTTGAGCTCTACCCTTTTACAACCTATTCTTGGACTCTGTAGAAGAATTGTCTTTGCGACCTTCAAGCCACTTCTGATTTCGTCTGGCAAGTGAAAGATGACTGCATTTTCTAACTGGGAGAATGATATTTGAAATAGTTGGTTCTCTGTTTCAATTAAATCGGTGTCCTCAATATTTGCCGACGTTAGGTTTGCTATTTCCAGTCTTGCATCTTTCATTACAAGAAAACAACCGACAGACTGCATTGTTTTCGAATCTATAATGTTTATGTTTTTGTTTAAGAACATTGTTCTCCAGTTGGGTATCTGCAATACCGGTACAATATCAATTTTGACCATTTGCCGCTTTCGAAATGGACCGTACCACTTCAGATTTAGTTGCCCTATATCCCAGCATTCTCCTTCTGCGTTCACCGTTCCATTGTGGGATTCAAAGCACGTGTTTTCAAATATTTCCTTTCTACGAAGCACCTTTTCCAGCAGTTTGTGAAAATGGCAACTCAGTGCTTCTCTTTTGACGTATCCATTATCATTAGTTATGGATGGGCTTAACCTAATAGAGTCACCATCTTTTATTTTCAGTTTGACAAACCCTTTGAATTCTTCATTTTCTTCAGGAACAACCATATTGCTCAAGGTATTCAAAATGAACAGAATGTCAAATTCATCAGGAGCACCTACCTTTGTACCTTCAGCATTACTGCCCCCGAGAATGAAATCACAATGGAATAATTTATTTTCATTATTCACTTCAGTAACAATCTTTTCCATAACACACATCAATTCGTCCTGAAGTTTGTTGCAGTCTTTCAAAAAATAGTGTCTTTGTTTTTTGTCATAAAAATGCATACAGTTTTGAATGATGAAATTTGTGTTATGTGGACAAAAACAAAAGGTTTCAAGAAAAGACTTAATTTGCGATTCTTTGATAATTTCTGCTTCTTCGCTGAATGAAGTTTCACTTCCGGTCCATTGACAGCATCGAGGATAGTAATAACCTGTATCAAAGTCCGTGACCCCTGAATGACCTTCCGGTTGGGACCTTTGGTATAATATTCCTAAGTGTTTCTGTATTTCACTTCCCCCCGTTATGGTCGCTAGTTCTAGTGCGTCAAGTCCAGAATTATCTTTTAGCTGCAGGTCAGCACCATGATGAATAAGATAAGAAACGGCCGTAGAGTTATGCATGCTTATTGCATGGTGAATCGGCGTGGATCCATGATTATCGGTAGCGTTTATGTAACCATTATGTTCAAGAAGTAAGTCAAGAATTCCTATCACCAACCCTCTTTCATCATTTGTTATATTGTGTGTAATTAGATGAACTGCCGTAAGACCAAATTTATCCTTCTCATTTACGTCTATGCCATGTTTGAGAAGTTCTCTTATGATAACAATATTGGAAAATTCTGCGGCAGCATGAAGAATGGTGTGACCGTTGATATTTTTTTGCTTAAGATCAGAACACCTAACTAAAAGTTCACACATTCTGCCATAGCCCACCATAAAGCGATGGTGTGTCTCTTTGTAGCGCCTCTGTGCAAAGTAATAAAGATGGTTCTCCCCTCGGTCATTTACACATTTCCCGTTACAACCATATTCAAGCATTTTGTTTAAGAACATAAAACACCAGTCTGGAATACAGCCTTTATCTTCACATTTTTTTGTGCACCAAAAAAATTGTTGGCACCATTTGTGTAGTGGTGTTAGACTTGTCAAATCATGAATTGCGTTCATGTCTGCCCCATGGTGATGAAGAATGGATAATTTTGTCAAATAACTTTGTCCGTCTTTGGGATTTGATGTTAAGTATTTCTCCCTATCAAAGTCTTCCTCGAAGTCTACCCATGCCATGTCAATCAGTTCATGGAGTACGGTTCCTCCCCTGAAATCCTTCGCATTAACATCAGCCCCCCATTCTGAGAGAAATAACACAGTTTCCACAGACACTTGACCATCCATAGCAGTATGAAGAGCAGTGCCACATTCGTCAGTATTTTTCAAATGTACCGTGTTTATTGCTGCATTGTTCCGCAGTTGACTTTCAAAAACACGTAACACGTCCACTTTGCTGTTCAAAGTTGCAAAATGAAGAGCCATATCTCCATGTTTACTCACTGACAAAGCATTGTACCCATCTTCCAGTTTCAGTTTGACACCCTCTATATTGTCATCAAGAATGTATTGAAAGAAATCTTCCTCCTCATCGGAGTCTTCCTCAATCTCAAATAAATTCTCTTCACAATTTTCATCTGTTCCGTTTTCACAGGTTTGCAACAAACTATCCGCCATGATTTGTATACCGTCTATCTCAATAATTTGTTCTCCATGAAAATCAATACGTGTTCATAACTACAGAAAGTGAAGTTTGAAAGCTTATCTACTTTCAGAATGTCCGCCAGACTTTACCTGTGTTTTATTTTAGTACGAAATATTTCATGTTCACTCAAGTATGACTTTGGGGCTATATTTAAGGACATACGCAACGTACCTTACCTACTGATACTTTTTCGAGATATTCTTAATTTAAGATTATAGTGCTATCAGATGTTCGTAGACAAAAAATCAGCATGCATTACCAGGGGTTTTGAAAAGATATCAATTGATGAAAATTCTTCTATAATTCAAAGAAAAATATACAAAAATTACTAAACATATATTCTAGATGTTTTGTTTATCCAAACTTGTTTTAGAAGAAGTGTACAATAGCATATATAGACATTAAAATTTAGCACACAGTTCCTTTAAGTATTGGAACTCTTCAACTCCAAGGAAAAAGACAATAAAGTTCAAACTATGTTGCGTATGTCCTTAAAAGGCGCTTAGAATTAGATAAATAACCAGAATCTATAATTATATACTTTATCTGAACACAATCTCATTACTTTAAGTTTTCTGGATTGACCTTTTTCATGTTTTGTTACTTTTTAGGGGGATGGGGGTGGGATTACACGTTCAAAATCTGAATTTCATGTGAGGTTCAATGATAAGCCCCCCCCCCCCCCAAGTATCCTAACATGAAAAGAAATTTAAATTAAATTAAACAGAAAACTGTGAAAATGAAATAGTATCTTCATAAAGTTGATAGTTTTTTTTTTTTATAATAATGTTAAATAATTAATCAATTTTAATTTAAAAACCTTTAAAATTTAGAATGCACCCTACAAAGCTCCGTTTACTTAATTGTTTTGTACAACTCTTAAGATTATGATAGTGATTTATGTAAACTGCGCTTTTATTGACTTCATCCCACACCTAGACTAAACGCAAATTCTTGACTTGGTTTCCTCCAGTAAAATAAAAAAAACAACAACAAACAAGTTCATTATTAATCTTACAAGAAATCTGTATTTGCCTAAATTAGCGATCGTAAATTATTGTATATTATCATTAATTAAAATTATTTTTCATCAGAGGAATTTATAGTATAATAATTTTGCATATTTAATTTTATGTACTCAAAGATTAAATATTTGAATTAAATATGTTTTATAATGGAAGGATAAAGCCATAAAAGGATAAAGATAAAAAAGATAGGTATTTTAAAGAGGCTGGGGGGTTGTGGCCATTTTTAGACTATATTGATCTCCTTTAGATGAAGAGCTCCATATGAAGATATAGAAAATGATCAAATTTTAAAACTAAAATTTTTGAAATTTTTCTTTGCCAAATAATAGTTGACAGCTTAAGATATCATAGCTAAAAAATTAAGTTAAATCTGGTGGTTAATTTGTGGTTAATTTGTTGACCCCCCAGCCTCCTTAAAGGAGATAACTCCATTTACACCATGCTTTCATTAGATTTTTATGTTGATCTAGAGCTAAGCTCGTAGGTATATAATAATAGCGAGCGCAGCGAGCGGCGCGAAGCGCCGCTCGTCACTGCGAGCTCTAACGACAACGCCTGGGCGAAGAGAAAATTCGGACTACTGCACATTCATTCAATAGAATTTTTTTCCGCAGTAATTCTGACCCACAATGCATCGCTTCTTGTTCTCGCTGCTAACTTCGTTCACGCGGTGACAACAACTAAAAATTCACACAAAATAAACTCACCTTAATTTAATGGATATTGCATGCAGATAGTAGATTAAACGTTCTTTGTTAAAATATTTGCATTTTTAAACTTTGTTTATGGAAATGCAGCTAACATACTACGTCATGTGACGTCACAGTCTAATCGTTCCAAATGTCTCGTGCGGTTTGAAGAGGCGGATCATAATAATGAAGTGAACACTGCGCTCGCCCCAACGGTCGCACCTTCAACATATTATTTATCAATATAGCAGTCAAAAGGAAAATCTTAATGAATTCTCTTGTTATATTTTCTAGTTTATGAAGATTTATTAGGTCACCTGAGTCACTCAGTGCTATTTTTAAAAATTTACGTTCTATTTCCACTATGGAAGAGTTATACTTCTTAGTGCGCTCTTTTGTGAAAAAGTCGGAAAATGTACAAATCTCGCGGGATTTCAGGGACAAACGTAACGTAAACATGTAAACAATATGTTGAATGTCGATGAACAAATCCTAAGAAAATGCAAATGAAATATTTTATTGTTGTGGACTTTATATACATCAAGAGTAGGAATGACAACTATATCAATTTATATCTATTGTTGATCGTATGTATCTATTTATCGAAATACAATAAACTTGCCTCAGAAATGTCGTATTTTTTATTAATGGATGATAAATTTAAGGTTCTCGCTCTCTTACATATGTCTTTTAGTTCTTCTATTCTTTAATTGGAATCACAAATACATTTAACATTTAAAATTGGATTGAGATTGGCATGTTTTGTATTATCCGAAATGCCATGCTGTCCCAGTCAGACGACCAAACGCGCCTCTAATTTTGAAGAGTTCACTAATGGAAATAAAACGTATTGTAGTAAGCATTAAGCCCTCTACCAAAATTGTGAAATTCATGGCCCCAGGGTCAGGTGTTCTGGAGTTAGGGTGGGGCTCTAATGTTCATATAGTGAAAATGCAAAACTTTTTCAAAAATCTTCTCTCCCCCTGTAAATTCAGCAGATAAACTATAGGTGCATGGTTATGATGAGAAAGCGTGTCTCTTTCAAATTTATAAAATTGGTTGCCCTTGGGTCAGGGTTTCTGGAGTTAGGTCGGGCCCCTTATTTTCATATAGTGAACATGCATAAATTCTTTAAAAAATCTTCTGTCATCCTGTCAGCAGATAAATTAGATTCATGGTTTTGATGAGCAAAAGTGCCTTTTTCAAAAATTGTGAAATTTGTGTCAGGAGTTTCGTATTTAGAGTGGGGCTGTAATGTTCATAGAACAACAATGCATAAATACTTGAAAAATCATTTTCTCTCTTCCTATATATTTAGCAGATAAACTAATTGCATGGTTATGATGAGCAAGGGTGAGTATTTCAAAATTGTGAAATTTGTGACCCCAGGGTCAGGGGTTCTGGAGTAAGGGTGGGGTTCTAATGATCATATAGTGAAAATGCAAAAATTCGTTAAAAATATTCTTCTCTTCCCCTATACATTAAGCAGATAAATCAGATGCCTGGTTATGATGAGTAAATGTGCATCTTCCAAATTTGTGAAATTTGTGGCCCGATGGTTAGGGGTTCATGTGTTAGGGCGGGACTCTAATAATCATATAGTGAAAATGCATAAATTCTTTTATAATTTTCTTTCCGCCACATCTATATTTAGCAGATAAACTAGGTGTCTGATTATGATGAGCAAGGGTGCCTCTTCCTAAATTGTGAAATTTGTGGCCCCATGCAGGATAAGGGGTTCTGGAGTTAGGGTCAGACTTTAATGATCATATAGTGAAACTTTTTAAACTCTTTGAAAATATACTTTTCTGCTCCTGGGTATTTAGCAAACAATCAAACAAAGTACATATAGTTATGATTATCAAATGCGCCTCTTCTAAAATATAGAGAAACTAAGAGAGACCAATGTGAGAGGGAGTGTATTGGTATTTTAATAAAGCTGAAGCACTTTTGTTTTGTTTCGTTAGAATGGTGATAGTGACAAATGGGGGCAGGTACAGACAAGTAAATAAATTTTCTATAACATTTATTACCGAGTAGCAGACTAATTATTTTGTTGATTCCTGATCATCTGATTTCTCTTGATTTTGGGTAACAGCTTCGATCATCGATCAGTTTATTTATGTTTTATTTTATACTTCTGTGGATCCATCACAATGTTATATTATACTCAGGTGACCGTAAAGGCCCTTTGGTCTCTTGTTTAAATTAATATGATTAAATTGCTAGGATGTGTTATCATTTTTGATTTTAATTAACTGAACATTCACAATTGCAACGTGTATGAACGGATTGTAAGGAATATTTAAGGAGTATATGTGACTTCCCCTTACTCCTCCTGGGTTATTTTTTAGGGTTATTATACTTACTCCTCCTGGGCACCTGATTCCGCCTCTGGGGTTTTCAGGGGTCTCTGTTTTTGCCCTGTTCACTATCTGTTTTACTTACAGGACCAATGAGGTCGGTCACTGTTGTTTATCTCCACCTTTCTTATAAGAACAGCTATTATATAAATGCCCTTTTTGAGGGATCATTTATAGTACAGTAATAATTTTCTCAAAATGAGGTGTGGGTAGAAGACCTTTAATACCATGTTTCCTGCCTAGGATCACTTGATAGAGAAGAGTTGGGTTTCTTAATCTTCTCCAGGTTAACAACACCAAGCATTTGACATGATTTTCCTGTGATAACCTGCCACTTTGCTAACAAATAAACTTTATTCCACTCTTACCCTAAATCTGTTTAATTCTTTCTACAGCAGATCAATTCTATAATTTATGCGACACCTAATTATCGCGAGATCAGTATTTGGTATTTATAAGCTTTAGGCAAACCAAAATTAATAAAATTCGATATTGTTATATATAATCTTTCATAGTATTATTATACGTGAGATTGAAATGTTTGCGAGCAGTTGGTCCTGTGAAAAATGCTAAAATAAAGTTCTTACGAATAAGAGATGAAAAAGAGAATTGAAGAAACTTATCTTTTGTCGACTCTTATTCCCTCATCTTCTTAAGTCTTCCTTGTATAAACCCTACACATCTGTTCCATCTACAAGGATCATTAGGTCATTCCATTATCTGAAGGTCCTCATTGCATTTTCCCGCACGGACCTTTACCCTTTTGCAATGTTTTTCTTTTGTATTTCTTGTAGTTAGTCATTGATTACTGGACCAACTTTTATTCGCGTGCGAGAAATACTCATGAGTTTCGCGACCTACTTTAACTTGCGAATTTTTAATTGCCTCGAACCATTTATTTTGCTTTGTATTCCTCAATCGCGAAAATTAATCGTCGCGGATTAATATC